TATCCATCAAGACTGATGAGCTGTAAATAAATTACATAAGAACTAGCTATAAGGAGAAAATAAAGTATCAGATGTAATCCATTTGGCAAATTGCATCCCCAGCCAATGAAAAGAGGTCCATAAATTATAGTGAGGAAAAAATGAATCTCCCCAAATTGATATAAAAGTCACATAACTTTAGCATGTGATTTGATGCACTGCAAGCTGCAGCATGCACATTTTCCCTGCATCCCTCAGGAGCCCTGGAAATTGCAGCTGGACCTGGGAGCTTTGCTTGATGGGTCTTACATGTGCAAACTAATAAAAGTGCATATATATGCCTCATCCCCTCTTTGGTTGACACATGTCCTGATGCTTTTGCTTTCAAAGCCACTCCACGAGGACAATCACCTACAGGTCACCGAAGCATCTTCCTCCAACACAACCACCTCCAGTCCACTGACCCCTTTAACTGAAATGCTTTCAGCCTGGCTCTCAAGAACACTGTTTTCTAAGTCTCAGAAGGCAATTCAGGACAATACAGACAAGCTAGGCTCTCTGCAAGAATCATACTCGGATTTGAAAGGATGGCAGGCTTACACTGTACGGGCGACTATTAAAAGACAAACAGAGGTGTATGTTGTGATACATTCTGTTTCAAAAAATAAAATTGAGACCAAGGAAGTCCACCACTCTGTCTGTGTTTCAGACTGAACAAAAGAGCTGAGAGGCCCATAGGCACCTCCAGTCTCTTTTGTTCTCTCCTTAAAGATGGAAATGGGTTACTAGAAACTGCAGTCATGTGAGGGCCTAGCTAAGTTGATGTATGGTAGTCCCTTCATCAAAGAGCTCATGTTCCACACAGATGACAGTATTGATTATATGGTCATGGCTAACACAGAAGGAATCTAACCAGGGTGCAAGAGAGCTCACAGGGCACAAAAGCTACCTGGTCCTTTCTCAGAGTATGTGAAGAGCCCTACTGTGGAAAATAGGAACTTAAGGGACAATGCAAGAGCCATGTGTGTGAAATAGCCATGGCCAAATAAAAGCCATGTGTCTGTCTTGAGTTGATAGTCAGAGCGCAGTCTCAGGAAATAATCTACAAAGGTCTGGCAAAGAGATGTGAAGCTTTGATCTTGCTTTGCTGTCTGGTGAGTTGTTTCCTAAGTCTTGTTCCAATGGAGATGCTCCTCTCTGCTCATTATAATAACCTGGCAATTTGTACATACGGCCACTTCTGTCTGAAGTACTATTCACAAAAGTCATCTTGATAGACTCACAGTAGCTTGAAAGCTGTGTCAATCTTCCCTACTGAATAAAACATCACAGGTGGCAGGGCTGAGCTCCATCCACAAGAAGTCTCTGGGACAATCCCACTTTGGCTAAGTGATCAAGAGAACTAGTGGCTAGCTCATGGGACTGCCATGATCATGCTACCAGACACAAGCTAAGTTACTGTTTCAGAGCCTGGGGAGGTGCCTCAGAGGACCCCATGCTCTTGTGGATGATGACTTCAGTAACTCAGAGCTAAATAAAGATTCTTCCATCATTCTGCATTTCTCCAGTAGGTATGGTCAGTTGGTTTCAGAATTGAGCAAGGCATCCCATGAAGGAAAACATGTATATTCTTATGTGTTGTTCAAAAATGTGTGTGTCAAAGCTCACACCTGGTCACATTAGAACAAAGACTTGCTAAGGTATGTTCAATAGAATGCTATACCCAGGTCTCTTTTTGCCAGGTAAAGGAGCAGCCAGGCCACTGGCCAGGGAGGCTTGGGTATGCACTACTCCCTTTCCTTTGCAGTGTTACAGAACACATACACATTAGAACCCGAAATGAAGAATCCACCCTTTGAAGTCTGCATTTGGCTCATATTTCTCACCATCCCTCATATTTATTTGAGTGAGAAGTTTGTTTTAAATGAAACATCACTTAGTAGCTTCAGAATGCTGGGGAACTGGGAGACGTATATGAGACTTTGAAGAGCACAATACTACACATTTGAAACCACTACACACACCCTCCTCTTTCTTCTCTTCCCCTAAATCAATGTCCTTTTATTGTCAACTTGACTGCACCCTTCAGTCACCTGGGAAGAAGAACCTTCAATTGAACAATTCTCCAAATCAGATTGGCCTGTGGCCATGTCTGTGAGGGATTGTCTTGATTGATGACAGATGTGGGAGGGCCCAGCCTACTGTGGGCACTACCATTCCTAGGCAGGTGGTCCTTGGCTGTATAAGAAAGCTATCTGAACATAAGACAGTGAGCCAGGCAATAAGTAGCATTCCTCCATGGCTCCTGCTTCCAGATTCCAGCTTGATTTTCTGCCCTTACTTCCATCACTGAGAGCTGGTGATCTGGAAGTGTAAGTGAACTGAGGCCTTCCCTCCTCTAGTTGCCTTTGTCCTGGTTTTTATCATAGCAACAGAGAGAGAGAGAGAGAGAGAGAGAGAGAGAGAGAGAGAGAGAACTTGAACAATGGAGCAGGCATGAAGGTGCCTGGAATGGTGAGTTAAACTGTCATGGGGAAGGGGATTGGCACTTGAAGAAATGCCAAGTCTAGTTTGGATTCCATAAAATTGCCTCTCATCATCTAAGACAGTCAAGAATAAGTAGTATTTACTGAATGCATACTTCCTTATGGAACTGTCTGTGTGCATTAAATCGTTTCTTCTACACAGTTACCGTGTTACTCCTGTTTTCAAAAGCAGGAAGCCAGTGCACAGAGCGCTTGAACAAATTGCCCAGCTCAAACATCTAGTGAAGGGATGGTAGAGCTCAAGTATGAGCCCATGGGCCTCTAAGGATCTTGCTCTATTTGCAAGACTTAACTCCTGAAAGGGAGACAGAATGCTAGTGGCCCCAGCCCACACCCAATCTCTCTGCTGGCAGAGAACAGCATGAACCTTGAGCGCTGCTCAGGTTGCAGCCCTAGCTTGAATACAGTGACAGTGTGATTGCAGGTAAGCTTCTCAATTGTTCTGTGCCAGGTTCCCCATCTGTAAAATGGGGGAGATAGAATACAAACTCAAAAGGTGGTTGTAAACAATAAGTGAGTCACTTAAATAAAACACATAACACTGTGCGGGACTTATTGCAAAACCAAGTACACATCCACTGACATTGTCACCATTAATGTCATTGTTACCTTGACTGTTTCCATCCAGCGTGGCTGTTTGACTTGATAGTACACCACTGAGTGATACTCGTTCATGGGCTTGTCCCCGGCTCCCACACAAATTGCATTCTGACCAAGACAAAAATGAAGAGAAAAAACTATAACATTGCCATTATCTGAGCTTGGGCAATTTTGACCCCAAGGCCAAGGCAAATCTGAGGATCAAAGAACAGCCTCCTCTTCACTAACCCTTCTGCCAGGCTCCTATCCTGACAGCCCTTCTACATTACAGATTTCTACAGTGTCATCCCCAGCCTGGAAGTGACAGCTGCTTAACTACAGAAATTCTATTACCTCTCTTCTGAAATGAACTGGAGCCCGCCAGGCACTGACATGGCAGCATTGTTGTAAATGGTAACCATAACCAGCCTTGGAGTTAATGCATGCTGCCAGTCTTTGTAATGCTATCTATTGCCTAAAAGTGAATGTCCATAATGTTTACACAAAGTGAGCCCCTTCTGCTGGACTCCCAAAGCTAATGCACCACAGTGGCTGTGTGCTTATTTGGCAATGGGAGATGGCAGCAGCTTCAGAGAGACACCTGGATGATGGGATCTGGGGAACAAGTCTGACATGAAAGGCTGAGGAGGATGATTCAGCAAGGCACAGACAAGCATTCTATGGGGCTATACCTAGGCTAAGCTCCAGATGAATGGACACAATGCAAAATTTGTAGAGAAGCACTTAGGCAAGTTCACAGTCATTTTAGCAATAGGATATGACAGAAAATGGACAGAAAGACAGATAGACCAATTACGGAAGGGGTATTTAAGTACAGCTGAGGAAACCAGGAAGGTTTCCTTGGAAGCGAAGACAGTCAGGCATTCTAAGCTGGCTTTGTGTGTGGAAATGGTAGGGGGAAGAATCCTGAATGGAGAGAACGCAGAACATGCTTGTTGGTAGAAGATATTTGTTCTTTGCCATTAAAAAAAAATCATTTTCGCCGGGCATTGGTGGCACACACCTTTAATCCCAGCACTCGGGAGGCAGAGGCAGGTGGATCTCTGTGAGTTGGAGGCCAGCATGATCTCCAGAGTGAGTGCTAGGATAGGCTTCAAAGGTATACAGAGAAACCCTGTCTCGAAAAACCAAAAAAAAAAAAAAAAATTTCAGTGCTTCAGAAAGGAGCAAAGTGACCAGCTCCTAACTCATTCCTTCCCTGTCCCTCACTCTTCTCCCACCTCTCTGTGTTCATTAAATCACTTTGGGCCTCAATACAACATCCAAGTCACATTCACCCAGAGGGGCCCAGGTGTGGTTTCCATGCCACACTTTCCAATCTTTAACCTCAAGTCTCCAAACTTTTAAGAACATGATGATTGGTTTTTGGTGACAATCTCTGAAACTATCAGTTGAGTGACTCTGGGGAATTTTCTGGTGAGTGGGGGCAGGCCTCTCACCAGATTCCATGAGATGATCCAATGGACCCTTGACTAGATTGAGTCACCAAAGCTCCCCACAGGCTGGTATTCTGTGGCCCCTGGTGAACAAAGCTACACTGCGGGAAAGAGGACCTTCTACTGACACTGGAAAGCTCTCTCTCCTTGCCAAGGTACTGGCAAGAAATGGGCTCAGCTTCTTTGGGGGTTTGAATGAGAATGGCCCCTACAGGCTCATATATTCGAACGCTTGAGCTGCAGTTCATGGAACTGTTTGAGAAGAATTGGGGGGTGTGGCCTTGTTGGATGAGGTATGACACTGGGGGTGATTGTTGAGGTTTGAAAAGTTCATACCAGGCCCAGTCTCTCTCTCTCTCTCTCTCTCTCTCTCTCTCTCT